AAAAAAAAAAACAAAAGCAAAAACAAACAACCGTTGAAAAGAATTCATTCTCAGGTGATGGTACTTAAACTTTGATTAGCCAATCACTTCTGACACATCTTCGATCTCCACCAACCGGTGACTCCTGTAGCCACAGTGATTATTGCCAGTCTGGGTGACACAGGGCTTATTAGAGGAAACTTTTTCTTTGCACCCACTTGTGTTACTCTCCTCATTGGCTACAGATAGAATCCAAAGAAATCGTAGGTAAAATATATACTGTGAAAAGTGTACCATCATGTTTTGGAAAAATCTGAAAGAACTATATGCCAAAGATTTCCTTTTCCTCTAATGTGCCCACTCTTGTCCGTGGGTTATATAGTAAGCCCTGCAGACAGGGCCTATTCAAGTAATACAATAAAAATAACACTATTCTTGGTAGCATGCTTACATTTTCTGGCTCCCAGGCCCATGAGTAAGAACCTAACAGGTCTCTATTTAAACACTGAGTCAACACTGTGTGCTGCTACATATTGAAATGAGAAGGAAGTAGTATTCTTCCTCTTACATAATCTGCATTAAAATGGCCAGTGCAAACGAATCCCGGAAGAAAAGGGAAACAATATTTAGGTCTTCATCTGACCACCACAACTTGGCCGCATAATTTGGAACTTTCCCCTTGACATTACCTTGTGGCCCAACAAACATAGTATCTTTCAAACATTAAAAAATTAATGCATAATAATGCATTGTACATTCTGATGTGGAAAATTAAATTATCAACATAATTCAGGACTTTTTCAAAGTATAATGAAATACTCAGAGAACAGACAGAATCTGAGGCTTAAGTATACTGGGGCAATGCTTTACTACACTTTGCTTGTATATACATTTGCCAAGTAGTCTGCTAAAAATAAGACAACGGTTTAACACATCTTTTTTGGTTGTTGTTAATCCTCACCTGAAGATATTTTTTCCATTGGTGTTTACAGAGAGTGGAAGGGAAATAGGGAGGGAGGGAGAGAGGAAGAGAAAGAGAAACATTGTTGTGAGGGAGACACATCAATCGGCTGCCTCCTGCACACACCCGATAGGGGTTAGGGAGCGAATGTGAAACAGGTATGTGACCACAGCCCTTCAGTGCTCAGGCCGACGCTCTAACCACTGAACCACACCAGCCAGGGCTAACACACCTTTTAAAACTACATATAAATAATCACTTTGTACATTGTCAGTATCATATTAGAAGGCCGAAATACAACTTACCCTTATCACTATAATAATTTCTAGGTTATTTCTAGGTAGGTTATTTCGTTTCCAGGTCAGATTAAACTTACTTATTTCTATTTCTACCAGGTATTCATTGTGACTACAACTAATACTTTTCACATGGATCAGGGTACATTTTCAGCAGTTAAAAAATAAAAAAGGATGACTCACATAGGCACCAACCTAGGTGGGCAGCTTCTAAGAAAGATACAGTTTTTGGATAAAAGAACAGTAATGTCTTCACTTTACAAATATGACACTTTTTACTAGTGGTTTAACATACTGGGGACTTTTTCTCGTGATGCTCATTTTCCTGTTTCATTAACTATCCTTGTGACCAAGAGCATTCCTTTTCAAGACAGACATTCATATGAGTAGTATCTGGCTGTGGGAATTTGACTTTTAAAACTGGGACGCTTAGTGATTTATGGGGCGGGGGTGGGGAGTCCATTGTAAAACTGTGGCCTCAGCAAGCACAGTGCACTGATATCACAAGCTAATGGCCAACACTAACACTGCTTCTCTACCTACAAAACAATCGTGTGTATAACAACCTTCTAAACAGGAGCAACTTTATTTATTGAGGCAATCTGCCAGAGGCCTCTCTAAAATACAGGAATTAGGGGTGTTCTTTCCTGGGTTGAACAGGGGTACACACAGCTGAGAAACACACAGATCTTCTCAGGGAGCAACTATTGTTAGAAAAGGAAGTGGTTCAGGTTTAAAAATTATCCCATAAAACCTTCATTGTCATTGAGGCAAAGATTTTTTTCCTATCTGTGCACATGTCAGGCTGCCCCCAAGCCGGTGGAGTGGAAAAACACAATGCCCTGGCTACGCGCAGGCTTGCTTTCCACTACAGCTTTTAAGACACACTTTCCAAGCAGTGCATTAAAAAAACAAAACACTAAAATCCTGAGGTTTAATATTCACTTTTGAAAATTAGTCAAGTGAGGGGAGCCCTTTCACAACACATACATGCATCACCTCAACATGTTGTATATTTTAAATATTTTGCAGTATTAGTTGTCAATTATACCTCAATAAAGCTGGAAAAGGTCATGAAAACTTACGTTCTGTCTCCTTGTTGGTAGCAGTTTTGTCTTTCAGTAGCTCTGGCCTTATGCAAGCCCTATCAGCTCTCAGAAACTCAGTTCCCTTATCTGCACATTGAGAAGGGTAAGGTCAATGTCCTCTAACCTTCCCTTCAAGTCCAAATTCAATGCTGAAATTTAATTATTTGGGGACTTAGATTCCCCTTCAAATACCTTTGATCTTAATCCTACACTAATTTCACCTTAAAAAGAAGTGGGGCTTACAACTAGAACCAAATGTATCTCATACAACAAATGAGCTGCAAACCTCTGCCACTTTAAGTTCTTAGCTATCTTGGAAGGGTGAATTATCATTTCCAAAAGTTTTCAATGGATCTGGTTTGTTGGGTGCCTTACTAAGGATCACTTTGTAGCCCCATTAAGAACACACAAAGGTAAGGAATCAAATTTAACCATGAAATCTTTTCCCCCGACAGGTGATATGGTATGACTACATTTCAGTTCATTAAATGTTGAGCTGGAAATCCTAGAAATGCCTGAGGAAAGTAGGTGAATGACTTCAACGCATTCCAACACTCAGGCTTATCTGTACACTATGAAAGTGCAAGGTCCTAAAAATGACAACACGATTAACTTCTAAACAGAAAAACAATGCAACACTACATCTGGGCCAGCAGATGTCTCTCTGCAGCTCATGACACCAACCTAAAAGACTAGGTAGAGAAGACACCCCCCCACACCTCATGTGATGAATGGTATGTGATGAAATAGAAGTTTAATTACAAAAGGAAGGGGAGAGTCTGAACCTAAGAATTAAGTTAAGGCAAGTTTGAGTAATCTTAGTAGTGAATATGGAGAGGAAGGCAGAAAAGCATGTGCCCCTCTGTAGCATAAAAATACTGCAAGTTTGTCGAGGTAAATAAAACTGACCAGCAGGTTTTGAAACCTATTTCGAGGAGCATTATAAAGAAGAGAAGAGAGGATACATGGTCATGGGGGCGTGAAGTACAGCACAGAGAATAGTCAATAATACTATACTAGCTATGGTGTGGAATGGGTACTAGACTTTTCGGGGTGATCACTTCATAAGTTATATAAATGTCTAATCACTATGTTGTATGCCTGAAACCAATATAATGTTGTATGCCAACTGTGATTGAAAAATTTATTTAAAAAAAGAAAAGAGAGAAAAAAGAAGTGATAGAACACAACAAACTAGAAAATTCTATCACAACTCACATCCAGTAAAGGTATTAGCTCGGGAAACCACACATGCACCGTCCAGGTGCGCGCACCGGGTCCTGAGGCAGCGCGGCTCCCTCCCTGCGGTGCCAACGAGCAGCCTGCGAGCCACGGGGGTACTGAGAGCAGCAGCGCCCCCCCCAAGGTAATGACGTCATCTGTAACGCCACCAGATAGAAAAGTGACTTCCAAAATCTCAGGAGAAAAGCATGGCCAACGAGAAAAAGGTGGAGAATTTAAACAGTACACTGTGAAACCAAAGTCGGGAAGGAAGACACAACATGAATGCCAACTAGAGAAATGTCTAACTGTCCAATCGGACTGTGGGCCCCGCCCCCACCTGGCGTTTTCCCCCTACCCAGCACAGCGTGATTACTGCTGAGAGAGGAGCGCGGGGAGACAGAAGAGCTGAAGAGGAGAGGGGAGGTGGGACTTTCACCAGGTCTCCCCACAGCGGGGTAAAGGCAGGAACTGGTGCAGGTCCAGACAGATGGGGACGGTGAGGAGAAAGGTGGCAGGTTCAAGTCTGCAATCTCAACACCAACCACAGAACTTGGCACACACTATATCCGGCCCTACAACTGTAAGCGTTTGGTGAATGTGTCGGTTGTTCTTAGTGACACCACGTTTTATGACATGAAGGCAGTGCCTGGCAGGGTCAAGTCTGAAACTTCTCATTCCAAGTTATCACCGGCTGGCACCAGAAACCCGAGTGCTGTTCGTAATGCCGTCCCCTCTATCTTTACCCTCCACAAGCCATTTCAGTGGCTATCTGTAAACAGCCATTTCCCCAAATGATAAGGAACTCCCTCTTCAAGAATTTTAAAGAAGTTTGTTTTGTTTCAAAATTGAAACTGATCGAACACGTATAAGGTCATCATGAATGAGTCCTCAAAAGCAAAATACGTAAATGGGAGTTCATGTACTCAGGGTGCTCAAAGATCAAGAAATCCATCTGTTCGGTGTGGCTCAGTGGTTGAGCATCGACCCACGCATCAAGAGGTCGCGGTTCAGTTCCCGGTCAGGGCAACTGCCCAGGTTATGGGCCAGATCCCCAGTGGGGGGGAGGGGCATGCAGGAGGCAGCCAATCGATGTTCTCTCTCATTGATGTTTCTCTCTCTCTCTCCCTCTCACTTCCTCTCTCTCTAAAATCAATAAAGGAAAAAAAATTTTTTTAAAGAAAAGAAATTAAGTTTCTCAAGCCACTGTAACAAGTCACACAGAGACCAGACCAGTAATATTCACACCTTCTTTAGGTGCAAAGGGTTTGTTTTGTTGGACAGTTTTTGGTTATATGACTGGCTTGTTTTGAGCTTGGGTACATTTAAAAGAACTTAATAAGAGCAAACACTTATATAATATTTACCATGTGCCAGGCACTCTCCTAAGGACTTCACAAATATTAACTCACAAAAATCAACTAATGCTTATACACCCCTGCTAATTTCAGTTACCTGTTCAGTGGTTTATTCCATTCCATTAAGAGTGTCTATTTCTTCCACTTTTCTCCTGCAAAAGATGAGGAAAATATTGTTAGTGAGTATTCACAAATGCATAATACATTTTATATCACTGTCTGATATTTTCTGAACTTGAAAGTACTGAAAGGGCTTCATTAAGCCAATTATTTCAGCTGGCTAACTTGACTCAATTCCTAAATAGAACCATCAAGACAGTATCACTATATGTAGAAATAATAGGCTATTTGAAAAACAAATATCTCATGGTTTCTAAAGAAATCAACACAATAAAAAGTTAGACGCATAGAGAAACAATTTACAATAAGATTCTTCTTGACTCTGAATCCTTCTGCATTTATTTTTTCTTTATTGATTTTAGAGAGAAGGGGGAGAGAGAGACAGAAACATCGATGAGAGAGAACATCAATTTGCTGCCTCCTGCACGCCCCTCACTGGGGATTTGACCCACAACCTGGGCATGTGCCCTGACCGGGAATTGAACTGGCCACCTTTTGGTGCATGGGTCGATAATCACCGAGTCACACCAGCTGGGCTGAATCCTTCTGCATTTAACATGCCCTTTCAAACCACGTTCCTTCTGCAGTTTTTTAGGTGGGCAGCACCTTTCCCCACTGGGTGAAATAACTGCCGTTCTAAAATCAGAAACAACTGGTGGATGTACCTGTTATAGAGTTACTTAAAATTTTTTAAATTTAAAGGAAAAGCATCATTAAAAGGGAAAATGTTGCCTAGGAAAGATGTTCAGAGGAAAGCTGTTCAGAAAGTCTCCACCAGGTGACACTGACCTCGGGGGGTTCATGATGTCTACATTCTGGTCCTCAACTCTTCTGGCTCCAAAATGACCAGATCCAAGAATCATTCCGTTTCCAGAAATGATCATGTTTATCAATACTGACTCATGCTAACAGAGCTCACAACAGACTGATGCACGCAGAAAGCCCTACGCCCATGTACTCGTTTACGAGGAAAAGTGACTGTCAGACAGCCTGGACATTTGCTCCATCCAGCTTGACTCATGTATTCACGTTTCCCTAGTCGATAAATATTTCTAAAACCCCAGGTATACCACCTCCTGGGCAGGTCAGAGATCTAGCCAAACCACAGAAGGTTGTCCAGAGCAATCACAATCTAGATGCCAACGTCCTCCAACATTCTCTCTCCAGACCAGCTGCCACCCTCCTCCTGGTCAAACGCAAAACACTCCTAGCTGTTTTCCCAGCTTCCACGTTTTATCCCTTCCAGTCCATTATCCACAGTGTTTCCCCAGCAAACATTTACAAACAGAAAACAGATCGTGGCTCTGCCCTACTGAAAGGGCTCTGCCCTTTAGTGCTCTGTGAACTGGTCTTAAGATAACGACCGACTGGACTCCGGGCCTCTCCCTGGCCCTGCCCCCCTCTGCAGCCCACACCCCTCTCTCCCTGGCCCTGCCCCCCTCTGCAGCCCACACCCCACTCTCCCTGGCCCTGCCCCCCTCTGCAGCCCACACCCCTCTCTCCCTGGCCCTGCCCCCCTCTGCAGCCCACACCCCACTCTCCCTGGCCCTGCCCCCCTCTGCAGCCCACACCCCTCTCTCCCTGGCCCTGCCCCCCTCTGCAGCCCACACCCCTCTCTCCCTGGTCCTGCCCCCCTCTGCAGCCCACACCCCACTCTCCCTGGCCCCTCCCCTCCAAAGCACTCCAGGTGCCTGGTAACCTGCAGATCCCAGCTCGAATGTCACATGACCCCAAGACTAGGACAAAGCTCCCATAACACTTTAACCTTCTCCTTTATAGCACTATGGCAGTTTATAATCCCACATTTCTGTGGTCATTTAATCTGCATTTCTCTCTCACGTGACTGTAAGAAGCTCCATGCGGGCAGATGCTGTGCTCATTCTGTTAGCATGCTGCACAACATGTAGAGTCTGTTGCATACATCACCTCAACAGGGATAATTCTGCCAGGCAGACCACATGGCTTCCTGGTGGGCTCCATCCTCGCCAATGTGCCCTCCCACCTCTGGGGTGCCAGTAATTAGATGAGCACCGTCTACATTCACTCCTATAACCTCTGTTTCCTACACTTTCATGGCCAACGTAAATCTTAATATAATAAAGAGAAAAAGAGCACAAAGTTCAAGATACACTTGGATAGCAACTCTTCAGACAGGACTTGTGGCAGTGGGTTACTAAGAAACATGATAAACAGAAAGAAAAACATAAATTGCAGCCAAAGGAAGTTCTTGATGAGACGACACTGGCAAACAAATACACAGGCATGTAGGCGCACCCAAAGCAGTAGTCCTCAGAGGAGGGGCACGGAAGACTGAGTCTGCTGTAGGATGCTGCACAGTGAAGGAGTTGACAGCAAGCAAGTGTGAGATCCCTGAAGGAGGCCCCACACACAGCACCTCCTCCTGCCCCCGGGGCCTGACTCTGCGTGCTTAGCACACAGCGGACCTGCTGTGCACACACTGTGTTCTTCCATTTGCCTTGCAAATCAGCAATTAATTGGCATTCCCCAACTTACTGCGTAGAATGTTTTAAATGGCTCACAGCTGTGGTTAATATTTTAAAGATGTTCTCCTGACATTTCAGTCGTTTTATGCGATGAGGATAACAAGACTGGTAGGAAGAAGTCCCACAGTGCTTTTGGCTCCAGATTCGTATCTAGTCATGGGGTTGGGCAGGGCCAGCTCATTCATTCAACAAACAGTATGCACCTCGAATAAGCCAGGCATTGTTCTAGGGGCCGTGGACTCACACTCAAAAGGACAAACCGCTCTCCTCAAAGAGGTGGCATTCTTGGAGAAGACAGATAATGAACATATATTAAGTAAAATACAGGACATGTCAGGTGTATACGTGGAGGAGGACATTACATTTTAAATAGGGTGGTCAAAGAGAGCCTCCCTGAGAACCTGACATACGAGCAAAGACCTGATGTTTGGAGACCAGTCACGGAGATATCTTCAAATAGTTCCAGACTGACAGGTGGGTAGATGCAAAGGCCCCGAGGCAGAAGTGTGGCCTGTCAGACTGGGGCATGCAAGGAAATGGTAGTGGGAGACCGGATCAGAGAGGCAAGTAATGAGCTTCTAGGGCACTGAAAAGGCCTTGGCTTTTCTGCCAAGAGCCATGGAACACAACTGAGATGTTTTGGGCAGAGGCAAATATGATCTGGTTGCTATGTTGAGAACAGACTGAACAGAAGGCAAGGGGGAAGCAGCAAGACCAGTTATTGGGATACTGGAACAATCTAGGCACGAGATTACGGAAACAGACTCACAGATACACAGAACATACTGATGGGCCAGAGGGAAGGGAGGTTGGGGGTCTGGGTGAAAAAGGTTAAGGGGTTCAGAAGTACAAATTGCTAGTTACAAAATAGTTATGGGCATGTAAAGTACAGCACAGGGAATGTAGTCACTAATACTGTAATAACCATGCATGGTGCTAGGTGGGTACCGGAATATCAGGGGAAGCCCTCTGTAAAGTATATGACTGTCTGACCATTGTGCTGTATACCTGAAAACGAAAACAAAATACCACTGATAGTCAACTGTAATTGTAAAATGAAATGTATAGCACCAGGCCAGTGCGGCTCAGTGGACTGAGCGTCTTCCCACAGTCTGAGAGGTCCCGGTTCAATTCCAGGTCAGGGCGCATGCCTGGCTTGAGGGCTCGATCTCTAGTAGGGCGTGTGCAGAAGGCAGCCGCTGGATGTTTCTCTCTCTCTCTCCCTTCCTCTCTCTCTAAAAAATAAATCAATAGAAACATTAAAAAATAAAATGTATAGCAAATTAAGCACAAATAAAAGGGGAAAGAAAAAACATTTTTTTAAATAGGGGGCGATCACTGCTTGTAACTATCATCGCGGAAAACACTGGGGTGTTCCCGGGCAGGAAAACGGCTCTTCCTCGGACCAGCGCACCATGGCGCCACTCGGTGGCGTGGTAAACAACCCCTACTCCCCTACACAGCACGATCAGATGGCCTGGTCTCTAGCTGCAAACAAAATTAAACTGATTCTTGACACTTAATACTCAGAGCTGATATGCTGTATTTGTTCAGCTTTTCTCCAAGTGTGTCATGATAGGTAAATCACCCGTGTGAACAGGTCCTGTCATCACCCAGCAGAGCACTACTTTTCAAACTCTGATTGCACAGGAATTGCCTTGCGGGTCTTGTTCAAACGCAGATGCTGACCCAGGGGCTCTGGTCTGGGCCCGAGACTTGCATTTCCAGTCGGCTCTCCAGCGATGCTGATGTGGCTGGTCCACAGGCCACAGCTTGAGTACAGTGTGGGAGAGAACACGTACTCTTCTCTCTCCTTCCCGCTCCCTCCTATTCCCTTGTGAGGACCACTGACAGACTGGAACAGCTGCATTTCAGGCACTGTTTTATACCGAAAGCAAGACTTCGCCCTCCGTAGTGGGATAATTAAATCCCAGCAATCAGCAAAGCGTCTCTTCTGGGGTGTCCTTAGCTAACTGATTAGATCAGACACTTCTACCTCAGCAACCACGTAACGCTCGCTTTTCGGCCTCCCCTCGTTCACGCATCCACTCCCACGTAAGCGAAGTCCCTACAAAGGACTGCTGCCAAGAGGTAAGCTCCGGCTTCTGCATGAGGTGAGTAATTCCAAAATCACTGAACATTTTCCATCGCGAGCTTTTGTTGCAAAGAGGCTAATCCATGACAACTCTGGCTCGGCTGGGAAGCACAGAAGTTTGGTCGATGACTGCTTGCAGGTGCCGGCTTCTGTAACAACTGGCCCCGAGAACCCCTCTCCAGGACCCGATTCCTCCTCTTTCAGGCAGAGGGGTCTCATATTACACATATGGCCAAATTGCTCCTTAGAACAGAACCGATATTTTCCAATTACAGATACAATTCTGGTGAAAATGAAACCTGAGTCATAACATTTCCCTCTCAATCCTTAACTTCTGAGCGATTTTAGCTCATCCCAATTCATTTTTATAACAGGTATGCATTTCTTTCTTAGTTTGCTTCTCAAGTATAACAAGCAAGGTAGTGAGACTGTA